TGGCCTTTTCCAAGCTCTGGTAGAAGTCAGGTAGGGAGAGAAGCTGATGCTGATTCTTCAGAGAATCATCACACTGAATTTCGATCAGTTCTAATTGCCGACTATCCTCCACTTTTCGATTTAAAGCTTTCGTGACTGCAAGGATTCATCTTCTTTGGTTCTTTCGGTAAAGTCACGTAGAATGAGAATAAAATAATAAATTGATAAAATAACACAATAAAATTCTCTGAGAATTTCTCTGAGAATTTTATTGTGTTATTTTATTTTAAATTCTCTGAGAATTTCTCTGAGAATTTTATTGTGTTATTTTATTTTATCAATGTATTATTTTATTCTCATTCTACGTGACTTTACCGAAAGAACCAAAGAAGATGTATCCTCCACTTCTTTTGCATCCATTGAAAACGGAGCAGCAAACAGTGTGATTTCCTTCTCAATGACAGAAAAATCTTGGAAGCGCTGACTGAATTCTGTCATGAGAGATGTGATCACAGACACATATTCTCCCATTTTTGCAGAGAGCTTGGCATTTGGAAATGCGCATTTGATTTCGGTCAGCGTGGGGAAGTGCGCTACATTGAAGTTTGCTCAGTTGTGACTCGAAGAGACGGAGCTTCGCACGGAATGCTTTCATGTGTGCATACAGCTGTGAGACCAGTTGCTCTTTGCCTTGTAGTCTCTTGTTCAGGGTGTTGAGATGATCAGTGAGATCAACTAAAAATGCCAGGTCTGCCATCCATAAAGGGTCACTGATCTCATGGAGAGGTCTGCCCTTTTCTTTCAAAAACTTGTCGATATTTGATCTCAGGGAATAAAACCACTGCAGCACGGAGCCGCGACTGAGTCAGTGCACTTCAGAATGGTAGAGTAGGTCCCCGTATTCAGCATCGACATCAGAGAGGAACGGTTGAAATTCTCTGTGGTAAAGCCCTCGTGCCCGAATTATGTTGACAGTTTTCACAACTGTGTTCATCACATCGCCAAGCTGGATTATCTTGGCACAGAGGGCTTCTTGCTGGATGATACAGTGCATTTTGACAGCCTCACCTCCGCTCTCCCGCACCTTGGCACTCACCATAGAGGCTATTCCTTTGCGCTCGCCTGTCATTGCTGGAGCCCCATCTGTTGTAATTCCACACAGCTTGTCCAATTTAAGTCCAGCCTGGTCAATTGCATCTGACACAGCTTCAAACAAGTCCTTCCCAGTTGTTGTCCCCTTTAGACTCCGGAGTTCGAGCAGTTCCTCCGTAATGCAAAAATTATCATCAACTCCCTGCAAAAAAATTAACAGCTGTGCAGTATCCGTGGCATCTGTGCTGTCATCACATGCAATCGAGTAAAAATTGAAAGCACAAGCTTTATCTGACACTTGCTGTTTTAAGTTAGCCGACAAGTCTTCAATTCGCCGCACAACCGTATTTCTGGACATACTTACATCGTTGATATCCTGCATTTTCTCCGGGTACATTATTCCCACGACTTTAGTGAGGCACTGTTTGATGAAGTCACTGTCTGAGAAAGGTTTCCGTGTAGGGCAATGAGTTGAGCTACTTCATTACTGGCTATTGTTGCATTTTCTTTAGCTTTGTTAGCACGGAAAAACTCTGCTGCTGCATTAGCAGGCTAGCTGCCATTTGCTTTACCTTCTCCTTCCGCTCGGCGCCAGTGTAGGACGTGAAGGTCTGATGTTTCGTTTAATAATGCCGTCGTACATTGTACTCTTTCATCACGGCAACACTCTCATTACAAATCAAACAACCACACTTCCCCTTGGTTTCTATGAAAAAATATTCATTTTTCCACTGAGTCTGAAATTTTATGCACTCGCTTGCAATCTTGCATCTCTTCGGTTCCGGCATTTCTGGTGACCCTGAGCAATTTTTTTCTTCGATTGCTTGCTTTGTGGAGATGCTGCCTTGTTCAAGACAATAGCGCCATCTAGTTCTTAAACTAAGAAGTGCAATACAGTGGGCCATAGTCCATTATATTTTTAGACTTTGATACGGGCCAATTAAAAATGGATGGCGGGCCGCAGTTGGCCCGCGGGCCGTAGTTTGGACACCCCTGGTTTAAAGAAATCCCCCCTAAACAAACGCACGGATATGTATTGAAACTCTGAAAAGCCAATGGCTTCATCGGCCAGAATCGAAGCGCCACCTAAAATCTCCCGACACGCTGTTAACAGCTCTAGAAGTACGGCGCGCGAAGAGCCATATGGTAGGGGTAAGCATTGCAGAGCGCTTAACTCAAGTGTGTTGCGGGTTGACGCCACACATTTCATGGTCATTTCTCCCCCCCCCCCCCTTAAAATACAATAGTCTATTTTTATACTTATTACATTGTGTACAGTATGGAACCTACCCACATGCCAAATTTCAAGTGTGTTGCATGTTGGGAAGTATGCTAAACATTTCGAACAGACACACACACATCCACAAATTTCCCTTTTATATATAGACTAGCTTTACTACCCGGCTTTGCCCGGGACTTGGATTCTTGTCTTGGATGAAAACACTGCCTAGGCGGAGTGTTTGGGGGGGGGGATGCGTGACGTCAGCAGGCACACTGCGTAACGCTGCCGCATGCGGGTGGCATCACACATTTCAAGTTTGTTCCATGTTGGGAAGTATACTAAACATTTCGTAACTTGGTCTGCGGGTGTTTTGCAAGACGAGCAAAATTTTATGACTTGAAATACGAGCAGTATGTACAGTATACGCTTTATCTGCCGAGCGTCACGTGATCACAACTGAGCCAATGGTTCTTCTCTCTCTCGCTGCGGGATTGTGGGTAATAATCTCCCATGCTCGGTCTCAGTTGGCGTGCCTCAATCGTAGAGTCAACATCCGTGCGAGTGTATACTGTTTACTACAGTACTGTATAGTGTTGCGACCATGTGTGTGTGTGTATGTTAATCATCTTTTTTATTTTGTGTCCAAGTGTAGTGACTGTTCTTTAGAAAAGCACCACCCGAATAAGGCTGTAGCAGTGCGAGCGATTAATCTGTTTAACGACAATGCAATGTCACATTTCAGCGAAATCCTCAACAGGAGGCAAAAGCAAGTGTCATTGGATAGCTTCCTTGTTAAAGTCGCACAAAAAGAAAAAGATTCCAGTGAGCCAACAGATGGTAGCGATTCCATTACTGATAGTGAAAGTCATCCTACACAATAACCCTCCTCCTCTCCTCTCTCTCGTCTCCCTCACACCAGCCACGATTACATTTTAATTAATACATTTGATTACTTTATATTACATTAAAATGCAAATATAAAAAGGTACAGTATTTTGTATTAATCTTTTTTTTATATTTTTGGGTTGTGGAACGAATCATCTGAGTTTCCATTATTTCTTATGGGGAAATTCGCTTTGATATAGGAGTGCTTTGGATTAGGAGCACGTTTCCACAACGAATTATGCTCGCAATCCAAGGTTTCACTGTATAGATAAATCAGCATTTTGCGACCCCCACTGCCACCTTGTGGCATATTACGTGCCAGGGACTCTATGAGAGGACAATAGTCCGAGTCCATAATTGGCAATAAGTAACGGCAAAGCAGTTACAAGCGACTCACAGAATTGTGCGCAGTTGCGTATACAGTACACGACTTCCCTGAAGGCAAACACCTTCAGCGAGCGCAATGCCGATCACACGCGTCAAATAAAAAGCAAAGGACAAGTCCTTACTTGCTAACAACTCCTTACTTACTAACAACTCCTATCATAAAGTATTAAATCTTTCGTGACTGCATAAAATTACTCATTGGTTTTTTCGGTAAAGTCACGTATGTAGAAATACAATAAAATTATATTAAAACAAAAAAACAATCACGACGTTTCGATCACAACGCAAGCGATCTTCATCAGGTGTCAAGAACAAATCACGGAGGTAAATACAACAAAAAGATGAAAGACGAGAATTCAACAAACCTGAAAAAACATTATGTGAAGCACATCCAGTCAGGCCAACAACACAGTTAGACACTTCCTGGCGGACCACGAATTTCAGAAGTGTTAAATTTCGTGTTCAACCTTTGGATTGCACATACCAGCATAGATAGAATGAAAAATACGAGGTACACGGTCAGTAGAAATACATATATAAGTCCACCAAGAGGTAAGGAGGGAGGAAAGACGGACAGGGTGGACTTGTATATGTATTTCTACTGACCGTGTACCTCGTATTTTTCATTCTATCTATGCTGGCATGTGCAATCCAAAGGTTGAACACTATCATTTTTCATTACTGGAGGGGTTGCCCCCCCCACCTGAAAATGCTGGCTCTGCCTCTGAGTGTGTGACAGTGTCAAGTTTGTATTTGCAGTAAAATCTATTAACTCTATTGAGCAAGGAGGTGAGATCAAAACAGTAATTTATTTTTGTTTTCCTCTGGAAATCTTTGTAAGAATGGAGTCAGGAAGTTATCCCAGCACACGTGCAGCTGAAGTCGGAACTGTTCATCCCAGCATTCAAGGACATCTGTGCCTGGCTTCATACATCTAACTTGCGATTGAACATTAATTAATGCATTTGCGCATAACACAAATAGTATTTTTTTCAACACCCTTTGCTATGTCAGCTGAATTTAGCTTTCATAAATATTCCTTTTGAAGCCAGACAGCCGAAATTGTGTGCTCGGAGTTTTGGGTTAACATTCCATTTGAAGATACTAGGGCTCCCAGGCATGTTTATAACTATTTGCCCTCTCATTGTGTGCCATAACAGCCCGTGTGATGAATTTGGGACACTTTTTCACAATATCATGAATATATGAATAAGTAAAGACATGTAAGTCATGTGTTACTGTGTGTATATGCATTCCTCTGTGCATCGATACTGACGTGTAGATGGTGTAGATATTCTTTTTTTCTGTCTGCAGCTGTCGCTTCCTCTGCAGAATTGGTCTGATGGAGCAAAGGCACTCGGCGCAGCTCGGTATGACAAGGCAACAATGCGACCGGTGTGCATACAGCACGGATCGTACTGAAAATTTTACACAGCACCAGAGAACTCACACAGGAGAGAAACCCTTCAAGTGCAGTGTGTGTGGGAAGGAGTTTGCACAGTCATCTGCTCTTAAAAAACACCAGAGAACACACACGGGAGAGAAACCCTTCAAGTGCAGTGTGTGTGGGAAGGCGTTTGCACTTTCATCTAATCTTGTAGCACACCAGAGAACACACACGGGAGAGAAACCCTTCAAGTGCAATGTGTGTGGGAAGGCGTTTGCACGTTCATCTACTCTTGTAAAACACCAGAGAACACACACGGGAGAGAAACCCTTCAGATGCAGTGTGTGTGGGAAGGCGTTTGCACATTCATCTATTCTTGTAGAACACCAGAGAACACACACGGGAGAGAAACCCTTCAAGTGCAGTGTGTGTGGGAAGGCGTTTGCACAGTCATCTGCTCTTGTAACACACCAGAGAACACACACGGGAGAGAAACCCTTCAAGTGCAGTGTGTGTGGGAAGGCATTTCCACAATCATCTGCTCTTAAAAAACACCAGAGAACACACACAGCAGAAAACCCCTTCAAGTGCACTCTGAGCTGGAAGGTGTTTTCAGATTCATATAATCTTGTAACACACCAGAGAACACACACGGGAGAGAACCCCTTCAAGTGCAGTGTGTGTGGGAAGGCGTTTGCACTTTCATCTACTCTTGTAGCACACCAGAGAACACACACGACAGAGAACCCCTTCAGGTGCACTCCGTGCGGGAAGGAGTTTGCACTTTCACCAAATCTTCAAATACACCAGCGAACACACAAGCATCAGAAGATCCACAAGGAGTGGCGTCTCAAATCAGCTTGTGAAAGTCAAAGTGCCGCAATGAGCCCATCCCTCATGAAACAAGAACCGGAAGAAAATCCCAGCTTGAACACTTTTAAAGGTATCGAGGTGAAATATGAGGAGGTGAAGGTGAAATGTGAAGAAGTGATGGTGAAGAGCGAAGAAGTGAAGGTAAAATGTGAAGATGAAGATTCAACTTCACAATCGGACCTTCACATCGATGGAGGCAACGTGAAGCAGGAGGAGAATTCTGACTGCGAGGCAGAGCGAGGAAACTACCAGCAGTTTGTGGAAGTGGAGGTGTGGGTGGACTTCCTCCGAGACAATACAAAGTCAAATGGAGTACCGATAGATGTGTAAGCCTGAGACGATTTCGCTCCAATAGATGCACCTTTGTCACAGGCCTTTCATGACAAGAACGTGAAGTTGAACACTCAATTCCTAGGTTCAACCTGCAGAGTAAGAGTGGCCAGTCTTTGTGGACCTGTGGGTTGCTTAGATCTCTAACCAGAAGTGAGAGCCAATAAACTCCCAAGCATTCGATATGTCATCATTATTGCATTTATATGGTGCTTGCTTGATCGCCCCAGCAACTTGGAGTTTTGAAGAGCATCCCCAAGTAGCAGCTGCCCCTGTGTGGCACAATGTGGCCCTGCACCGGCCTGCACGTGGACATAAGTCTGTCGGTAGGGGGCGATCATTGACGCGCCATCTCCGTTGTGTAGTTTCTGGATAATGTTTGGAATTACCCAAATTTTGACCGTGACACCAACGTGCATTGTTCGTGCGCCGCCGACATGCGGCAGCGCACGAACAACGGCGGCCGCTTGCGGCGCCCCAGCCAACATGGCCGCCGCTGGCAGCGTCACAGCCAAAATGGCCGCCGCATCCCGCGGCGCATCCGTTGGGAAGATGGCGCCAATTTTAAAAGTGGCGGGAGGCGGTTTGGCGGGAATCTGCCGCTCGCACTCAAAATGTGGGTCGGGTGCGTGCATCTTCGCTCCCACCTCGTTAATTGTGGCGCAGGGCTGCGCCATTGCCCGCGTGAGCAGCTCCAGCTGCCCCGCGCCGGTGCTCCCCGCGCCCGGCGGCGACGCGCAGGCACCCCCGGACGCCTTCTCCCGTTCCGTCCTATTCTTCTTCTCGGGGGCCGTCACCGGGGCCCCGGACTCCAGGGTCACGGCCGAAGCCTCCTCCATTCCGTCTGCATCCTCCGATCGTCCCGTCCGTAGGATCTTACACCGCGCGCCAGTACTTGACATGGCGGTGACAGCGTAATCACTTCTGACACCAGTTGTTGAGGAATGCCCGACGATGACTCGGAGACGACGTGAAGGTTAAGGGCTTGCGCCAAAGGTTTATTAAAGATATGGCAATTAACACAAGGGTGTAACAACTCCCAGGGGTTAGGGGTCCTACACTGAGTCCTACCACACTACCCTACTCTGTCTGGTCCCAGCCCGGCTAGCTCTGGTCTCTCTCGTGTCGGATCGGGGACTCCGCCAACTCCACCGACCGGAGAGAGAAGCACCTCTAACGGCTACCACCGGCTTCTCAGACTCACCACTCGATCCCTCTACCCCTGGTTCCCTCTTCACCCTTCTACCATTACCCGTTCCCACAGTGACCCCGCTTTCGTCACGGGGTCCCCCTTAAATACTAGAGGCGACATGACGTCATTGCCCCGCCCAGCGCGCATGACGCCACGTTCCGTAACGTCATCTCACTAGACGGCACACAAGACGTCACATCCCCATTTTACTCCTCTACATTTCCAAAATTGATATTAAGAATAATTCTGCCAATATTTTTTTTTATACATAATAATCAATTGCGGTGTCGCTTGGGGGCACAAGGGGGGTGATGCGAACCCCCTCACCCCTCACAGGAGCTGCCTTCACACCAGACAAGGAAGTAGCCATACAATGTAATTTTAAAAAACCCCAGCAAAAGGGGGGGGGCATAAAACGTAGACAGAACAGGGCAAACGGACGTTACAACTGGCGTTTTTTTTACTTCGGTAAAAGTTCGAAACTTAGCAACGAGAACAAATCAATATTATAGACTGCAGTCCACATTGGCCTTTTTTATGATTACTTACCTTATATTACTCTCACCTCACATTGTTTCTTATTGTATCTTGCTATGTACGTGACTTTACCAAAAGAACCAAAGAATATTAATTCCAGCAGTCAGGCTTTCAAAATATAACTCGAGTATAAACAGCACGGATCCCTGGATACAGACGGGGAACAAAGGTCAATAAAACCCTAGGAATATACGTGGTTATAACGATGATAAATCACAAGTCTTCGATAAACAGAAACCAAATAAATGTTTATTTAAAGCTTTTGTGACTGCAGTAATTCATATTCTTAGCTCTTTCTGTAAAGTCACGTTAAAGGGAAACAATAAAATAATAAAATATATTTAAAACAATAAAAAAAATTCTCACGACGTTTCGACCATAATACAAACGGTCATCATCAGGTGTGAAACCCAACGGCAAGAAACATTTAAAAGAAGTGGCGGTTTGCATTTATTTATTTTTAAACGGTGTTTGTATTTATTTATTTTAAAAAACGTTAGCACCACGGGCAGCGATTTGGCAGTTTGTTTAGAAGGACGAGTCCATCTATGTTCTGAAAAGAGGAGGGGGGAGACGAAAAATTAATGTATGCTGTCTGAAAGCCACCGTAAGCGTGAACAATCAATTAAGACTTGAAATGGTTTATCAAATCCTTCCAATGATTGCTAAGCCAGAATCCATCTTCTCGGTTAAGTGTACGGATCAATGAGGAGGACATCTCCAGGAGTACTGTGTTGACATTCCAAGCATAAGAGTTAGCATATTCGAGTGTTGTGTTTTTGTTTAGAAATTAAAATTGCTTAACCCAGAAGTGTCTGAGTGGTGCCTTCCTAAGTTAATGCGTAATAATCTTAATTATAAGAACTGTATCCTGCGGAGAGATTTTAATTTTGAGACCTGATATAAACACACTAAAACATAATCAGTAAAAGTTCAAGCGAGACTCAGTGTATTATCCCGATTGGTGATACAACCCTAAACAACGAAGCCGAGCTTAAACAGCATAATTACATCACACTTGCATAACTTCATTGTGCCCAAGTGATCCATTTGCTGCCAACCTGCTCTACCATTAAGTTCCCTCCTACTATACATGGACTGAAAAAAAAAATGGAAGCGACGTGCTGCTGACGGTGAATCTGATGGCTTAGGACGAGTCTACACAGCTCAACCCAAGGCAGTCGCCCGCCAACATCAACGGAGGGCGGAGGAGCGACGCTCACAACAATGAGCGGAGCGCCGGGTGGCTAAAGCACATCAAGTTGGCACAGTAGGGGGCACAGGTGGTGCATCAGCCAGTTGTCTCAGTCGACTCGTGGCACCTGGGTCTGCCCCGTGACCTGCCGACGAGCGATCGATGCTTCACGTGGCCTCAAGGTGCACATAGCCTGGCACAAACGACGTGGTGACGTCTCCACAACTTAGTGGCGAATGGCGGTTGTCTCTCTATTAGCATCTATCCAACCGTATTCAACTACTGTCAGTAGCAACACGCGCCTATTCATCTTCCACGGCCAACAACTACATGCTACTCAAACTTGCTCATCTCTGTGTATATCTTTCGAACCATATGTAACCAACTGTGGCAATCTATGGGTCTCTGTGTGAGTCTGTATCTAGAACTTATTTCGAACCATACGTAACCAACCGTGCTAATCTTTGTGTCTCTGAGTTTGTGTGTACGTTGAACTTCTTTCACACGGTACGTAGCCAACCGTGCTAATCTTTGGGTCTCTGTGAGTTTGTGTGTACGTTGAACTTCTTTAGAACCGTACACAACTGAACCTGCAGAGTAGGAGCGGCTGGTATATGTGGACCTGTAGGCTGGGTAATTCTGTCGGCAGAAGTGAGACAATGAAGCTTCCAAGCAATCACTATGTTACCAACATCATATTTGCACTCAAAAGTCGCTTGCCTAATAGCCTCAGCAACTCAGTGTTTCGTATCGAATCTCATCTCAAACAATTTAAGGGCGCCCCGTAAGTGGCAGCTGCCCCTGTGTGGCACAAGGTGGTGGCCCTGCACCGGCCTGCACGTGGACATGAGTCTGTCGGTAGGGGGCGATCATTGACGCGCCATCTCCGTTGCGTAGTTTCTGGATGTTTGGAATTGCCCCAATTTTGACCGTGACACCAACATGCAATGACCTGTGCGTTTTGAATGGCACAACGCTATGTTTCACAGCTGCCGTTAAGCAGACTGCGCATATTGTGGTGAATGTTACTGGGGTAGCCAGGTGTGCCTGTCGGATTTGCACCTTGAATCTCTGCAATAGAGAATGTGCTACCATATTCTTGGTTCTTTCGGTAAAGTCACGTAAATAGAAAAAAATGTTTTGATTTTATTTGTATTATTTAAATTGTCATTTTATTTTACAATGTTTCTTTAATGTAAACATTTTTTTATTTACGTGACTTTACCAAAAGAATCAAGAATATGAATTCCTGCAGTCACGAAAGTTTTAAGTCAAAATAGAATGCGCCTCCACTCGGCTCGCCTCAATCTGCGTGGAGGCGTGGGGGGGGGGGTCAGCCTGAGAGAACTTCCTTGCAGAGGGCCATTGGTCGACTGACTGAGATGACTGCCCCCACAATACACTCACTGTGTGTGAGTGTATTGTGCTCGAGCGTGACGTCACCTCTGCCTGGGTCACTTCTGTTATCTGTTCAAGTACAATCCTTATTTGGGCAAAGCCACGCCCAGTGTCTGGCGGCTCATTAACATAATGCATTCGTGATAGGCGTCGCGAGTTTATTGCGACGGGTTCGGCACCCACTCCCTATCCCTCTACGTGTGGGCCGGGCTCATTAACATAATTTATTTAATATCCTTAGCTCTTTCGGTAAAGTCACGTTGAAGGGAAATAATAAAATATATATAAAACAATAAATGTTCTCACGACGTTTCGACCATAACAAACGGTCGTCATCAGGTGTGTCGTGAGAGTTTTTATTGTTTTATTATTTTATTGTTTCCCTTCAACGTGACTTTACCGAAAGAGCTAAGAATATGAATTACTGCAGTCACGAAAGCTTTAAATCAAAATTTAATTTATTTAAGACCCGCTCGTTGTGGGAGTGGAGTGTCATGTAACCCACAAGTGACGTCATGTCACCTGCGGCCGCGTGACGTCGCGAGGTAACAGGAAGTTGCCGCTCCGCCGTGCACTGAAATCCGAGGTGAGAAATTCTCGTGGTGGTTGTGGTGGTGGTTGTTGTGGTGGTGGTTGTGGTTGTTGTTTACCGAGGTAGAGCCTCGCTCTCTCGTAGGGATGTCAACTCAGTAGCAGCGAGCATGGAAGCGATGTCCAGGTTGGAATTTTACAACGCGGGGCCTTGCCTCCTGCCCTCGCCTGATCGCGTTTACTTCAATTATCTTGCTTAATTTAGCAATCTTTGGAAGAACGTAATCAACCAGGCTATGCGTTAATTGTGTGTTGACCGACTCTCTGTGTTGCATTGCATTACATTTACAAATTTTACTCAGTTTGTTTGATTAAGTGTGCTTTCTCTCTCTGTGTCCTCGTGTTGTCGCGCTTTTATTTCCTGCAGTCACCAAACCTCCAAATCTCTCATTGACACAAGGCCGTAGTCATAATATATTATTATAATATATTATTATAATTATAATATATTATAATTATTATAATTGTAATATAATAATTATATAATAATTATAATATATAATATAATTATTATATTATAAGGCCGTAGTCATAATATATTATTATATTATAAGGCCGTAGTCATAATATATTATTATAATATATTATTATAATTATAATATATTATAATTATTATAATTATAACATATTAGATTATAACATATTATAATTGTTATACTAATTTTAATTATAGTATAAAATAAATTATAATATATTTTAATAATATGTAATAATATATTATAATATATTAGAGTAATATATTATCATTATAATATATATTGGGGGAGGACATCCAATGTTGACTCCATGGCTACGGCCTTGCATTGACATGTTAATTTCTCTACCCCCCCTCTGCCCCCTCTCTATTTAAGGCCTCGACACAGAGGCGTTGTTTCTCTGTGTGTCTGTGTGTGTCTCTTTCTGTGTGTGTCTCTGTGTGTCTGTGTCATCTCTCTCTGTGTGTCTCTGTGTCATCTCTCTCTGTGTGTCTATGTGTGTGTCTCTCTGTGTGTCTATGTGTGTCTCTGTGTGTCTGTGTCATCTCTCTCTGTGTGTCTCTGTGTGTGTCTCTCTGTGTGTCTCTGTCATCTCTCTCTGTGTCTCTGTGTGTGTCTCTCTGTGTGTCTCTGTGTCATCTCTCTCTGTGTGTCTATGTGTGTGTCTCTCTGCGTGTCTCTGTGTCATCTCTCTCTGTGTCTATGTGTGCAATGCAGTCACCAAACCTCCAACTCTCTCATTGACACAAAGCCGTAAATATAATATATTATAATATAATACTTATAATATATTATATATAATACTTATAATATATTATAATTATTATATATTGGGGGGGACACATCCCTCTCAATCAAATATACTCAAAATGTCCCCCCAAATATATTGCTATTAAAATATTTTGTAAAATAATAATTGCGATGCTATGTTAATAAAAACAACAATTTGCTAAACCTTGGCCACAAAATCTGGACTTGTCTTCATATAACAATGCATAGATTTCTGTTTATATGATTGTGGTTATAGTTGTACTTTATGAATCCCTAATCTCTGCCATTACATACTATTAAACGAGAAAAGGGAAAAAACAGAGCAATGTAATACAATACACTATTAGGCATTATTGTAAAAAATGCCCATGTGTTAGTGAATTTTTTTTATATTTCAGGCAGGAAATGAGTTTTAAAATTTAAGATATTTTTCTGGGGGGGGACCCCAGACCCCCTGGAAGATTTGGTCTCCCCCAATGTTGACTCCATGGCGACGGCCTTGCATTGACTTGTTAATTTCTCTACACCCCCCCCCCCCATCTCTACCCCCCCATCTCTACCCCCCCCCTCTCTGCCCCCTCTCTATTTAAGGCCTCGACACAGAGGCGTTGTTTCTCTGTGTACCTTTTTGTGTCTCTCTCTGTGTGTCTCTGTGTCATCTCTCTCTGTGTGTCTGTGTGTGTCTGTCTCTGTGTGTCTGTGTTATCTCTCTCTGCTTGTGTGTCTGTCTGTGTCTCCGTGTCTGTGTTTTCTCTCTCAAATTTAGCAATCTTTGGAAGAACGTAATCAACCACGTGGGGTGTTGACTGTTATGTTAGCCGACTCTCTGTGTTGTATTGGATTATATTTCTAAGTTTACGATGTTAGTTTCCTCTTTCATTTGTACCTGATCATGATTCCTTGTGTTGCAATCGAAACGTATGTTATTATTTAATTATTATTTTCTTTCTACGTGACTTTACCGAAAGAACCAAAGAGTATCTTGCTTAAGTTTTAATTTCTCTTCACCTGGCTCGCTACTTTGTAACTTTGTTTTATTTAAAATATTCAGTTTTTTTTCATTTTTTACCAGGCCACGCCCGCGTTGAGCTTCTATACCACTCTTGTTTTCAGAAGCGACCTGCCCACAACAACAACAACAAGGTGAGGCTTGTCAACAGCGTGGTGGTGTTCACTCTAGACGTGTGGCGGTGTTCACTCTATACGCATGGCGGCGTTCACTGTAGACGCATGGCGGCGTTCACTCTAGACGCGTGGTGGTGTTCACTCTAGACGCGTGGTGGTGTTCACTCTAGACGCGTGGCGTTGTTCACTCTAGACGAGTGGCGGTGTTCACTCTTGACGCGTGGCGGTGGGGATCGGGAAGGAAATCCACTCTACCACGGGTAGAGAGAGAGTAGCACGCAGCCTCGGCTGTGTTGATTGATCCTCATTGAATTACTTGGTGGAGTGAGGGAGGAAGCATTAATACTGAGCAGGTGAAGGTGGCCAGGCGTGGGTCTGGACACACCACCACCTGTGAACCATGCCAGTGTGTGACAGTGGCGGAGCCAGTGGGGGTGGGGTGGCACGTGCCCCCCCAACGATCCGATGGAAATCCCTAATTTTGATCGGATCATTGGGGTTTATTAGTAACTAGCTTCACTACCCGCCTTCGCCCGGGACTTGGATTATTGTCTTGGATTAATTTCATATTCCATTATTTAACTGAAAAACCCTGAAAAATGTATGCTTGCAAGAAAGAAAAACCTGAAACAAATTAATTTAATTAAATCGGATGTTTTTCACTGAAGGAAATTTAACCTTAACCCACTTTTATGTAATGTCGATTTTGGCAACTCGGCAAGGGAATTACTTGGCAAGCTGAAAATAGTCGCGTTCACTTAGAAATTCCAGACAGCATAAGCTGTGCAAATTTCCTGATGCCAGAGCTCAGCTTTGGAGAGTTTTTGCTGCTTCACACAAACAAACATATGTAATTTCTGCTTTATATTTAAGATAGCAGGTCTACCCGTTCTTCACACGGATATGTATTGAAACTCCAAGAAGCCAGTGACTTAATCGGCCAGGAGCGAAGCGCCACCTAAAATCTCCCGGCACGCTGTTAACAGCTCTAGAAGTACGGCACGCGAAGAGCCATATGGTAGGGGTAAGCATTGCAGAGCTCTTAACTCAGGTGTGTTGTGGGTTGAAGCCACACATTTCATGGTCATTTCTCCCCCCCCCCCCTTAAAATACAAAAGTCTATTTTTATACTTATTACATTGTGTACAGTATGGAACCTACCCACATGCCAAATTTCAAGTGTGTTGCATGTTGGGAAGTATGCTAAACATTTCGAACAGACACACATACATCCACAAATTTCCCTTTTTTATATAGACTAGCTTTACTACCCGTCTTTGCCCGGGACTTGGATTCTTGTCTTGGATTAAAACACTGCCTAGGCGGAGTGTTTGGGGGGGGATGTGTGACGTCAGCAGGCACACTGCGTAACGCTGCCGCATGCGGGTGGCATCACAGATGTGACATAGTCTATTTTTATACTTTTTGCAATGTGTACAGTCTGGAAGCTACCCACATGCCAAATTTCAAGTTTGTTGCATGTCGGGAAGTATGCTAAACATTTCGAACAGGCACATTCACAAATTTCCCTTTTTTGTATATAGATAAATCAGCATTTTGCGACCCCCACTGCCACCGTGTGGCATATTATTACGTGCCAGGGACTCTTATGAGATGATAGAACAACAGTCCGAGTCCATAATTGGCAATAAGTAACGGCAAAGCAGTTACAAGCGACTCGCAGAATTGTGCGCAGTTCCGTATACAGTACACGACTTCCCTGAAGGCAAACACCTTCAGCGAGCGCGATGCCGATCACACGCGTCGAATAAAAAGCAAGGGACAAGTCCTAACTAACAACTCCTTACTAACAACTCCTTACTAACAACTCCTTACTAACAACTCCTTACTAATAACTCCTATCATTTTTTTATTGCTGGAGGCGTTGCCCCCCTCGACCTGAAAATCCTGACTCCGCCTCTGAGTGTGTGACAGTGTCAAGTTTGTATTTGCAGTAAAGTTATTTAACTCTATTGAGAACGGAGGTGAGATTAAAACAGTGGTTTATTTTCCTTTGGAACTCTTTGTAAAAATGGAGTCAGGAAATTATCACAGCACACGTGCAGCTGAAGTCAGAACTGTTCATCCTAGCATTCAAGGACATCTCTGCCTGGCTTCACACCTCTAAGTTGCGATTGAACATTAATTTATACATTTCTGCATAACACAAATAATATTAATTTTTAACACCCTTTGCTATGTCAGCTGAATTTAGCTTTCAGAAATATTAATTTTGAAGCCAGACAGCCGAAATTGTGCACTCGGAGTGTTGGGTTAACATTCATTGTGAAGATACGAGGGCTTCCAGGCACGTTTGTGACCATTTGCCCTCTCATTGTGTGCCATAACAGCCCGTGTGATGAATTTGGGACACTTTTTCACTATATCATGAATATATGAATAAGTATCCAGAAGAACCTCGGAGATCGAATGCACCCGAACTCGAACAAATCGGTGTTCAAACGTTATTTCCGAACATTTTTTGCCCCGGAAACCAAACGAAATTTGGAGGTCGAACGGGCCATCGCGACTTGAAAGAACCTGTACGGCTGAGACGCGTGTGGCGAGCAGCGTGCATGACGCTTGCCCAGACTAAGGTTTTACCACCTCCTCACCACCTTCCACTCAAGCCATCAACTCTCCTTACTACAGGTAAAGTGAAGTTCTATGTTCATTTATTTCATTTATTCCGTGTATTTATTTATTCCATTTATTAATTGTGTTTCTTGTTTTTTTTTGTATGATTCTATGCATGTAATTACTGTAAACTACGTGTAAAATGCTTTATAATGAGAGATTTATTGTGTCTGGAACCAATTAATGTCATTTACATTCATTCTTATGTGGAAAATTAATTCGGTGTTTGAACAAATCGGTGTTCGAATGGCCTTCTGGAACGAATTAAGTTCGATCTCTGGGGTACCACTGTAGACATGTAAGTCATGTGTTATTGTGTATATATGCATTCCTCTGTGCATCGATACTGACGTGTAGATGGTGTGGATATTCTTTTTTTCTGTCTGCAGCTGTCGCTTCCTCTGTCGCTTCCTCTGCAGAATTGGTCTGATGGAGCAAAGGCACTCGGCGCGGCTCGGTGCAATAAGGCAACAATGCGACCGGTGTGCATACAGCACGGATCGTCCTGAACATTTTACACAGCACCAGAGAACTCACACAGGAGAGAAACCCTTCAAGTGCAGTGTGTGTGGGAAGGCGTTTGCACAGTCATCTACTCTTGTAAAACACCAGACAACACACACGGGAGAGAAACCCTTCAAGTGCAGTTTGTGTGGGAAGGCGTTTGCACTTTCATCTACTCTTGTAAAACACCAGACAACACACACGGGAGAGAAACCCTTCAAGTGCAGTGTGTGTGGGAAGGAGTTTGCACAGTCATCTGCTCTTAAAAAACACCAGAGAACACACACAGGAGAGAAACCCTTCAAGTGCAGTGTGTGTGGGAAGGCATTTGCACTTTCATCTACTCTTGTAAAACACCAGACAACACACACGGGAGAGAAACCCTTCAAGTGCAGTGTGTGTGGGAAGGCGTTTGCACAGTCATCTACTCTTGTAACACACCAGAGAACACACACGGGAGAGAAACCCTTCAGGTGCAGTGTGTGTGGGAAGGCGTTTGCACGTTCATCTACTCTTGTAGCGCACCAGAGAAGACACACTGGAGAGAAACCCTTCAAGTGCAGTGTGTGTGGGAAGGCATTTTCATATTCATCTGCTCTTGTGGCACACCAGAAAACACACACAGGAGAGAAACCTTTCAAGTGCAGTGTGTGTGGAAAGGCGTTTGCACAGTCATCTGCTCTTGAAAGACACCAGAGAACACACACGGGAGAGAAACCCTTCAAGTGCAGTGTGTGTGGGAAGGCGTTTGCACATTCATCTGCTCTTGTAGCACACCAGAGAACACACACAGGAGAGAAACCCTTCAGGTGTACTCTGTGCGGGATGGCGTTTGCACGGTCACCACATCTTCAAAGACACCAGAAATCACACAAGCATCAGAAGATCCACAAGGAGTGGAGTCTGAAATCAGCTTGTGAAAGTCAAAGTGCCGCAATGAGCCCATCCCTCATCAAACAAGAACTGGAAGAAAATCCCAGCTTGGACACTTTTAAAGGTATCAAGGTGAAATATGAAGAGGTGAAGGTGAAATGTGAAGAAGTGATGGTGAAGAGCGAAGAAGTGATGGTGAAGAGCGAAGAAGTGAAGGTAAAATGTAAAGATGAAGATTCAACTCCAAAATGGGACCTTCACGTCGGTGGATGCAACGTGAAGCAGGAGGAGACTTCTGACTGTGAGGCAGAGCGAGGCAACTCCCAGCAGTTTGTGGAAGTGGAGGTGTGGGTGGACTTCCTCCGAGACAATACAAAGTCAAATGGAGACCCGGTACATGTGTAAGCTTGGGACGATGTCGCTCCAATAAATGCACCTTTGTCACAGGCTTTTAATGACAAGAATGTGAAGTTGAACACTCAATTCCTAGGTTCAACCTGCAGGGTAAGAGCGGCCAGTCTTTGTGGACCTGTGGGTTGGGTAGATCTCTAACCAGGAGCGAAAGCCAATAAGCTCCCAAGCATTGACTATGTTATCATAATTGCATTTATATGGTGCTTGCTTAATCGCCTCGGCAATTCAGAGTTTTGTGTCGTATCTCGTTTCAAACACTCGAAGAGCATCCCCAAGTAGCAGCTGCCCCTGTGTGGCACAAGGTGGTGGCCCTGCACCGGCCTGCATGTGGACAAGAGCCTGTCAGTAGGGGGCGATCATTGACGTGCCATGTCCGTTGTGCAATTTCTGGATAATGTTTGGAATTACCCCAGTTTTGACCGTGACACCAACATGCAATGACCTGTGCGTTTTGAATGGCACAATAGTATGTTGTACATATGTAGTGGCGTTACAGGACAACACATCGGTTACAGGTAGCACCCTTGGCTTACCCGCAGGGGGCTGTGGGCTTTGGATCCCCCGCGCCCCTCCCATCGGGTGGGGGCTGCAGGGTGTGCTGTGATCCCTCAGAACCCCGCCCTTCGGTGGGGAATTGGTATAAAAGACGGGGAGCCAGAGAGATAGGGGCAGTGTTCGCGAGCCCTAGTCAGAAAACCCAGCTGAAGACTGAAGACCGGCTAGATAGACCCTGGAACTCCTCTGACCCGCTGTCCTCAGGGCCGGGCAGCGCAAGCCAGCGGTGTGACCCGAGAGCCTCAGAGTCGATGTCCTTCTAAGGGCCGGGTCTGTGTGGCTGGTGGTCGGGACCTGAGCCTTGGCAGGGCCAGGTCAGGTAGCCTCCCTTAAAGCCCTTAGCGGAGGACCTGGGAGCGTAGGTGGATAGGCAGCCTAGGGGTATATCCCAGAATAGTACGGGTGAAGGGGCCGTTACCCCTTCAAGTATTGTATACGTTGCCCTGTGCTGAGTTACAATAAAGTGTTGCCTCCACTTCGCCGTCTCTGTCGAGTGAGAACCCACTACACATACACTGTTAATCGGACGGTGCGTATTTTTTTAAATAGCTTGTTAATGCGATGTAACCTGATGCAGTATATTTCAGTGCAGTAATTAAATTTTGTTAATTTGCCTGTCAATAATTGAGAATGAATACTTGTCTGATTGTGTGCGTACATGTAACATTTTGTCTATAAGGGTCAAACGTTGAATAAGTGATGTTAGGACAGTGTATGTTTTGGAAATAACCTGTACAGATAACTCAGGTGAGACCTGTTGTTCTTGTGATAGAGGTCAAAGGGTATTTTTGTGTTTTCAGGGACCGTCTGCCTCTGGAGCAACTCATTGTCTTTGCAATAGGGAGCACATTCGGATCATTCATCAGTTACAAGGCATACCACTTAAAAGTTACACGTAGAGGAGATACATTCTCTACAACACGAATTATAATTTTGTATTACGTGTAGACGTAGATTTTGTCTAACTAGGACTAGAAATGCTCCTTGCTGATTAACGTCTGGATGTTCGAAACTATCGGTTGAAGCAAGCCCGGCTGCTCTTGAGGCGCTGTGCACCAATCAGAGTCCACAGGTGGCTTGCACTGAATCAATGATGCACTCCCAGAAGGCTGTGCTAGTTATAGTTTGTGTAAAACATTTCTTTGTTTAGTGGAGAGATCGATAAATGAAAGATGTCATGTCTGCTGATCTGCTTCATAGCAAGGAGCTAATTTTAAGAGCACATTTGAAACGCATTTTTAGTAGAGATTTGTATTCGGTTCCAAGGCAGAGCACATTTAGTAGATACATTCTCCACAACAACACTCAGAATTTTGCGTGAGGTCTTATATGTTGGCGAACTAGGACAAGAAATGGTCCTTGCTGATTAACGTCTGGATGTTCACAACCATGGGTTGAAGCAAGCCGGACCTTCCAGCGGCTCTCGTTACAACCATTTACAGCCTCCGGCCAGGAAAGTCACCAAAAAAATTGGACACGAGTGACGCATTCACGCAGCACCCGGTGCTCAGTTTTGAAGTTTTAAAATTAAAAACTTTGAATTGTATTATTTTTGAATTAGATAATTGTATTTATTCATTAAAAGCTTGCATCATTTTACATCTGGAAGACTTTTTTGAAAACGACATTTCGCGTGAATTTTCTCTCGTGAAGAAGATGACCTTGCCGAGGATTCGGTTCGATGCGGACTTTTACCTGGTTGGGATCGCGGGATCGAAATAAGGCGACACAGAGCTGGCCATGCGAGAAGACCGCCGTCTACAGATCGATTCCAACGTGATCGAACGTCTGTCCCTGGGCCTCCGTCATTCCTGCAGGGGGCTAGTAGGTTTACAGCGCCCCCTGCATGAAAACGACAAAGTGCAGCGTTTATCACAGATAAAGTTGTGCGTTTTATATAAATGTCATTCTTTGCCTGTTCACGTGCTTGCGTGGGATTTGTCTCTCTAACGGTGGGGTTTCCGTACAAAAAATTGCCAGGTACCACGCCGTAAGCCCCGTGGTTGGCAAGCACTTCCTTTTTCACGTCCGTCACCTTTAAATTTGTTTAATTAGCGTTTTTGTGCGATATTTCGTTATTTATTTTTGCCACTCGCCGCGGGACAAAGCACGCAATTGCGCCCCTAGCAACGCACACACGACCGCTAAAAAAGTTAATTCGCGTTCACAATGCTAAAAAATATACACACAACGCTGAGGTTCATTATCCAATGCATGCAGTTACTGCTAAAAGTCCGTAGATATTAGTATTAGAGCGCTTAAGATATCATTGCACTGCGGGTGGGAAAAGTTGCCCAGCCCCCAGCCTGGCAATGTGTTACTGCCTCCGGCTGGGCAATATAGGCGAGGCCGCGGACTATGCATGGGACTAGGCCTCACCACGGCAATGTAAGGTACAGTTTTATTCAATCTTTCACGAGGAACTCGGGCTTATTGTTTACTATTATGAAACAAATAAGTTGACAAATATTACAATAATGTTTGTATGCAGGAAACTAATATTTCATTATTTGGTTGCTAAATATTTTCTTTTTAGCTATGTTTTTATGACGCTGCGACGGTGTACTGCCAGTCTGCTGTTGCCTGCTGCATGCTCATTAATTAACATCAATGCACTGGCACTCTATTATCTACACTGACACTATTATCTACACTGCTAATTTGGCTTTTGGGCATTGAATGTATGCCAGTTTATAATCTGTTGCCTGCTTCTTTACCTCACTCAGTGTACTGCCAGCCTTTCATGTCGACTTTATCCTGCTTTTTCAGCTGCTGACCGTATTGCCAGCTTTTTATGTCGACTGTAGCAATGCTTATGTCATTGAGTCAGTGTACTGGCAGTCTATAATCTAGACTGTAGCCTGCTTCTCAACTCACCTGTGCATACTGCTGCTCTTTAATGTACACTTATTTCAGATTATTTCTTCAATGCATTTCTATTGTTTCGATTGCTCACGTCACGCTTTTTACTGATACGTAGTACTGTGATGCTGATTAATATGTTATACTGCTAAATACGTTGGACTTTCTTAGTTACAGCCCATTGCATTTCGTCTATCGTTTTGTTACATTCGTGGGAACATCACCCATTAAAATTTTGCCGTACCGCACCATTACTTTCCGGCAAAGCGGCGAGCATGCTGGGAGGTTCAATGCCCCAAATATTGTTGACCTTGCTTTCTTACAGTGGGTGAGAAACATTGTGAGAGAGACAGTGTTCTTCCATACCAAAATCGCACGATTTCCTGACACTAACAGAGCATATGATTCCCTACAATAACACATTTTCCTGTCGCAAGGCCAAGATGGGTACCACATCAAGATTCCTCCAATTACAAAGCTGCAAAACAAACATCCTCACAAAACTGTCTCCTCTAAAAAAAACTTCTATTCCCTCGTGATTATGACAGAGGAGGAACCATATTATGGTGCACCAACCTCTTTCACCAGTATGGTGTCGAAGAGTATGCCAACATTGAGAGTGAGCGCCTTCTTTACATTCAACTGAATCTAAATCGCCTGTGTGTGAACAGTATGCTCATCTCTGGGACGCCATCAATGCCGAAGGAGATGCAAACGGTAAAAATGCGGGCGGATTAGTTATTGTGCCTTAATCCTTCACAGCTCCACCAAGATACATGCATGAGAAGACTCAGGATGCCATGACATACATTAGTCAATATGCCACTCTCCATCTCTTCATCACCTTCACTTGCAATCCCAAATGAAAGGAGATCCAGGTTTACCCTTATCCAATCCAAAAGCCACCAGGCAGACATGAAATCTTAGTGAGGGTCTTAAAACTCAAAGTTTATGACCTCATGATGCTTATTACGACCAACGAAGGCGGCGTCTTTGGATAGACAAGCAGTAACTTGCACACCATTGGGTGGCACAAACGTCGTCTTCCTCATGCTCACATTTCGCTATGGATGAGGGAAACAATGCAAGTCACATTGACACATTTATCAGTGCTGAGCTACCTCAC